TAAAGAATGATATTATATAGTTAAAATTTCACATAAACATCACATATTCCAAAAAATTAAATACAAACATAATGTATTAAATTACTGTTTAAAACTATTATAAATCATTGACCGAATCGGTTAGGTTAGGTTAGGAATCCTTAATCAAATGTACAGAAGATCAATTAACTATAGGTATATATTATATTTTATATTAGGGTTATTGGTCGTAATTTACTATCCAATATTATAATAAACCGGCTTTATATTTCAGGTATCTACTACAATATTAAATATATCTAGATAACCAAGTTAGAGGTAAGCACAAAACAAGATAGGATATACCTATAACGTTTTCGTTTTATTGATACCCACTTATAATATTAGATAATATTGTAATTTATGCCATTATAATTAATGAACTAAATTTATTTTAAAAACGTAATTAAATTAAGAATTGATTGATAAATTAAAACTTTTATAATAGCAGAATATCTGCGTACGTGTTCTGTTATACAGTTATACAGTTTATCAGTACTACAATCTTTCACACAATTTATTCGATAAAAATGTTAATACCTATGGCCATAGAGTAATACTAAAAAAGCAGGATACCGTGTCACTAACCTCGATCTAAGTATTATTTATTAACTAAAAACCCACTCGAGTCGACCTGATCGTTGCCAAAACTACAGCGTCTTCTGCCGTCGTAGTATGAACTTTATAACGAGTGCGCAAGAATTTCATCGACCAACCACCCATTACGAAAGTGAGTGCCAACTGACTTTTGTCACTAGATAACGCTTCCGTATACGATTATCGTATTTTATTAATTTTCAAATTTCCTACTATTTAATACAAAGTAATAATTTTAAAATACAATCAATTGATATAATATGTAGTTATAGTTCATTTTCTAATTAATTCAAAATAATTTAGCTAGTTGTATATTGTAATATCTGAAAACTAATCATTTTTTTCCAGTTTAACAGTTAATTTTAAAAAGCGGGAAAGTAGGAGCTCTGCTGTACATTAGGTGGTGGGGTGGACCTCTAACTAGGGTAGGTTAGATTTGAATGCAATGATAGGCATCATTGTATACGAAAAACGATTCTGAACGGAGATGATTTGTCAGTTTAGGATATATTATAATTAAATATTGTCATATATTCTATTTTGAAACAAATATATTATTTTTCAATTGGGGCGCATTTTGCATAAGGCATAATTAATCAATTTTTCCAAAAAAATTGCATGTAGTTATCATGATTCATAATATCTTATATTATCATAGATATACATATACCGGGTTTGAGCATAAATCGTTATCATTACGCGATTTCATAAAAATTTAAAACTCAAACGCTCAAAAAGTTTATCCAGTAATGAATTAATGACGCTTCAAATTTTCTCTATAGCTATTTGAAGCAAAACTTGTGGAAAACTAAGTGTTGAATTTTATAACCTTAGATATAAATACAAACAATATTATGAATTTTGAACTACAAAATAATTCGCAAATATTCATAGTTTTGACGAATTTTTGTCAATACTTGAAAAATTCAAGTGCTAATAAAAATTTAATTTGAATTTCCGGTGGACATTTTTTTTTTTTTGATAAAGATTGACAAATATGTAAGGAATCTTGTATTCAATTTTCAAGATTTTCTACCCAAAAAATAAAATTTTATCGATTTTAATTTAAAAAAAACTAATAATGATGGGAAATTGCATATACCTATGAATCGTTCAACTTAAGTCAAAAATTTTTGAAAATTTCATGGTGGATAGAATATACTTATATAAACATTCGGTGAAAATTGCATGTACCAGGGGTCATTTGTTTTAAAGTTACATCATAAATCAAAATCGATTTTGTCGAAAACTGATTGTGCGTACAATTTCCCGTTTTCCCCTTAATTTTTAGTTTGTTTATTCCGATTATTTAGAAAAATTATTTTGACCCCCAAAGTACCAACTAGATTTACTTTCTGATCGAATAAGGTACTGAAGTCAAAATTCGAAGCACTTTTACTGCCCCAAAACGTGATGACAGACACAAAAAAAAAATATTCATGGTTTTGACGAACTTTTGTCAATATTTGAACTTAAAATACTAATAAAAAAAAATTGTGCCTAGGTATTCTTATAATTTTTTAATCATTATAAGAATAAATTATGAAGAACTTTGAATTAAATTTTCAAGTTTTTTGATAGGGCAAAAAAATGTTATACAAACTTCAAAAAAATTTTTCAGAAAAATTGATAATACTAACATAAACATTTGGTCAAAATTTCAAGTATTTACAGTTATTAGTTTTTGAATTATAACCATATAAAAAAAATCGATTTGGTCGAAAACTGGTTTTGCGTAAAAATTACCGTTTTTCTGTCACTTTTTTTTTGTTTTTCACGATTTTTTTGAAAACTATTAGAAAATGTTTACTTTTGGCCTCTATAATGCACCAAGGATATTCACTTTTAAATCGGAAACCACCCCCAAAGTTTGAAATTGAAGCATTATTTCGACTAGTTATGCTGTACACAGACACAAAAAAAAACACCTATCATTGTAAAATCAATACATTCATCACTTCGTTCAGAATTTCATTGGTTCATGGTTTTGACGAATTTTTGTCAATATTTGAACTTAAAATGCTAATAAAAAAAGATTGTGAAATTTGAAAAATTAAAATTTCAGTTGTCATTTAATATCTAAAAAATAATCAAAATATTCCGAAATTTAAATCATGCAAAGAAAATGCCAATCTAAATAACTGGTGAAATTATCAAGTATCTACGACTTATACTTTTTGAATAATAACAAATATTTAAAATCGTTTGAGGATAAATCGTTATCGTTACGCTATTTCGTAAAAATTTGAAATTCAAACGCACTTAAAATTTTTCCTATAATCGTGTTTCAAGTTTTCTCTATAGCTACTTGAAGGAAAACTAATGAAAAACTTAGTGTTGTATTTTTAATCCTTAGTTATAAACACAACAAATTTTATGATTTTCAACTTCAAAATTACTAGCAAATTTTCGCGTTTTCGACAGATTTCGTAGAAATTTGAACTATAAACGCTTATAAAAAAAAATTGTGACTTACGATTTTTAATTTTTTTTAGCTACAATAAGAACAACTCGTAAGGAACCTTGTATTAAATTTTCAAGTTTTTTTGATCGTCCAACATTTTTTTACCGGCACTTCAAAAAATTGAAAATTTCAGTGATCTATAAATAACTCAAAAAAGTAAAAAATTCGTGTAAATTAAACTGTATATAGATAACACTAACATAAACATTTGGTCAAAATGTTTACTTTTGACCTCTATAACGCACCAAGGAGATTCACTTTTAAATCGGAAACCACCCCCAAAGTTTGAAATTGAAGCATTATTTCGACTAGTTATGTTGTACACAAAAAAAAAAACACCTATCATTGTAAAATCAATACATTCATAACTTCGTTCAGAATTTAAAACAATCCTTTTAGTCAATATTAAAAATTTTAATTTTTTGAAAATTAATATATCTATAATGATATAATTATATATATATAACATCTGACATGCCTATACAATTGTATAATATTTTATTTCATAAGTTAGTGATCTTAGCTCAACTTAGAGGGGTTGTTATTTGAATTCAATTTTTCCCATAATTTCATAATATTTTGTGCTGCGATTTGTTTGGCTGTTGACTTCTTGTTACTGTGTCCTGTGAATATGTATTATCTTATTTAGTAAGTAGTATCTACTTATACCTAACTAATAATTTAGGAAAACTAAATTAAACTATACCTATTGCCACTAAGTTCATCGCATTGCATTGGATTGAATAATGGTTTTCCAGTTTATTATCATTTTTGGGCTGTGATAAAAGTGTGTATATTGGTGTTTGATATAAATATTTAACGCATTCATCATTCAGTACCTCCACATAGTTTGCTTTAAACTTAATCAGTGGGCTGATGGTTTTTAATCTATATAGAAAAGTGTTTAATGTTAACTCATAAGTACACAATAAATCTATTTAAGGGGATTGGAAGCGGCGATTTTCTGTCTTTGTCTAACACACGTACAACGCAGGATTATAGACGTGTTATATGTCCATAAAGTACCGATTGAAATAATGAAACGATAAGAATTCTGAAAACAGTATTGAATTTGTAAAATTTTCTTGAGATCGACTTTTCTACATTTTTTATTTTTTTATTTAATCTTCTCCAAATTTAAAATAATATGTCAATTTTTTAATTATTCTTTTTTAAAATATTATTTCCAGAATTTTGTGGGATAAATCAAAAGTGTAGGAAAGTCAATATCACGAAGACTTAACGACATATTCAAATATGTTTTCAGAATTCTTATCGCTTCATTAATCATTCAGTACGTTGGACATAGAACATTATGCCTTATTTAGTCCTATGTTGTACGTGTGTTAGATAAGGAAAATGGCCACTTCCAATCTTCCTAATATTTTTTTACTCCTTTTCGTTAAATGCTCTTATATGTGAAGAAAGTGTTCGGTTTTTCTGTTTTCTTATGATTGACCTCAACATTTTACCAGCTGCATTTATTTTTGCCTCATACTTGCTAGTACCACTTCCTTCAACTTAAGACAATTACGCTTTTTAAAAATACAATTAATCACATCATTCACTTACCATACATTCCAAACAATGTACACGAATAGTTGTAAATAAATTGTTCACCAGATGTGTTTCTTCTTAGAAACCGATAAATTGGAACGATTCCGTGATCTACAACTCTATTTCTTAATACTTCCATTGGTGATCGCAAATCGGATAAAATAAGTTGTGTTTCTTTAAATTTAAATTGATTTTCCTTAAAATTACAGATAATAATTATATTTCAACTCAGTAGGTATATGGCCATATTCAATTTTATTCATACTATTTCATTTCTTTTTTCTTTAGACATATAATCTAATTTAAATGGTATCATTTGTTGTTCAATTTTTGAATATAAATTGTCCTTTGGAAGATTTAAAAATATTCTCATTACATTATATCTTTTGACAACTGAAGCTATTGCTCTCTCCATCCAATTTATTTTTGTTTTTAACTCATTGAATTCTATAAAGTAGGTAATAACATTAGGCACCTATAACCTAATATTGATGTAACTTGGAAAAAATTTTAAAAAAAAAGCCCTTTACCAACAAACACTATAAGCATTCAATAATGATGCTTTAAAATTTAAATATTTCGAATTTCTATGAATAATCAAAATTATTGATATCATTCATTAATCAATAATTATTAGCACTGTTTTTAACGTGCTGTAAGTAGGTAAGTTTAGTATAATTATTCATTTTTGTACTTTTTTTTTTTTTTTTTTTTTTTTTCTCTCACTTCCAATGCTGTAATTCTATACTTTAACGTTATACCTTTATAAATAACATACATTTTATATATGTTTTTTTAATGTCCTACGATGCGAAGACGACTATCAAACAACCATTTAAATGCAGTGCTACTGAAATACCATTTTTAATGAAAAATATCACAGTTTTTAGTTGATCGTATTAGGTACCCGTCGCCTTGACAAAATTAAATGAGTAAAATTGTAACCAGACGATAATGTGATTTACTGGTTGCTACGAAACGCTATCGTAAAAAAACATATATAATTTAATTCTCACCACTCGTTGGACTTGTCGGTACGACCTAACACTGTACGGTGTTAGATATATTAATAAAACGTTTTAAAACCTACAGCGTTGTATGGGTATACATTAAAAATGGAATTCTTTTGAATATAAGTCAAATAAATCACAACTAAATACGCATATTAGTGTTTTAAAGCGAGTCTTAACTACGTAAGATATTACATTTTTAAAATCCTCATGACTCGTATTAAGATCGAAAAACCAATACAAAATCCTCATAAATATAGGTACCTCAGATAATGTTTTTACCTTTAACCCTGATCTCAGCCATCAAGGAATTCAATTCATTTTTAATATTTAAGTTAAAAATAAGATGATTTTTTTTTAACGGTTACTAAAATGTTGAAAAGTTATCCATGATAATAAACGACGAATAACATATTGACTCGTGCAGTCGTACGATAAATTTGACGCAATCGATTGACAGGAAATCACACAAATCGTTCGTTAGTTTCGGAATAGATATCTTGGTGGACAGAATTTTAGTATGACAATTGAGTAAAACTAATAAAATTTTATTGAACTGTGTCAAAAGTGACAGATTGTTTCAGGCGAAGTGATATACATATACGGTGGCTAAAATTGACAGGCGTCTTAGTGACATTATGCCGTAATGTGAACACGTTCAAACGTCATATTATTGTGTTAAAGATGACGTGCCTACTTATTTATGTCTGATTGTCAACAATAAGAAGATGTTCGGAAAATTAAGTGTAAGTTAAATAAAATTAATCTACACGAAATTTAATGTTGATTGTTTAAATAATTTTGTCTGAAATAATTGAAAGATAAAAATTAAAAAAATCAATCAATTATTTATTGATGATATTTATANTGTTGATAATTATTTTGTACTTTTATATCATATTATTCAATAACAATTAAAAATAGGTACACTAAACACATATTATGGTATTTTATACTGGCATACTTTTATGTAAAATTTGATTCAAATAAATTACGTTATAGGACCAAAATATTTTTCCTTTCACTGTAGTCGATATGCTGAAATAATAGGTATAGGTATCGAAATAAATTACTTTGTTTATCCTTATGAATGTTATCATTTTTTGGTGCTAACAAAACAGATTTTTCTACTTKTATTAAACAATTTAATTGGTTAATAATTTCATATGCTGACTTCATACGCTCTTTAAAATCATCCAAGATCAAATTTTCCTCAGAAATGGATTTGTGAAATTCTTAGAATAATCATATTAGTGTAAAATTAGTTTATTAAAAAGTAGTATTTATTTTAAAAGTAAAATGTTTGTTACTAGAATTTTTCAAACAATCCTTATCGATTATAAGCTTGGTCATAAAATTATTGATGGCAGTAAACATCAATTGCTTTTCTTTTTGATATTGTTCAGACTGGCTCGAGTGTTTTAATTGATCTGTGACATTTGTCCAGTTTTGAGTTTGTTTTTGTTTAAGATTATATCTAGCCAATTCCATGTGGTCATTTAGCTATTAAACAAATGAACATTAATTACAATCTTAATAATTCATTTTGTACCTATATTGGTTTTACATTGAAGACCATTGTATTTGCTTAATTTTGTTTGACTTCAACTGTATTAGGTAAAATAAAATGTGATAAGTAATGTAAATTAACGTAATTAAAATTTTAGTGTAGGGACTAGAGATTAGAGAGAAAAAAGTGTTGTTCATCACTTATTGTTATTGTTTAATTACACTTGAGACTATGGTTACCAAGTAAGCACCTAATACCTATGAATAAGTTATTAACTTAAATACTATTCTCGAAACAATATTTTTTTTTTTAAACATCTTTATTTATTAAGTATGTAACTTTGGATTTATGTTGGAACAATATTATATTAAAAAGTAATGTACCTTTTGGTCTTACATGATACATGTACAACGTAGGTCGTAGCTTCATAAGTATCTTCTATATATATATTATGTTGTATTGATTTGATTATTTATACTTAACAACAATGTGTAGAAGAATAGCTGTAGGTATATATATACAGGGATCATCATGGTGTCAAAATTAAAATCATAAACAATCAGACATGGTTCATTTTTTTTTTTTTAATTTCAATATAGGTAGGTAACTTATAACCTCGTAATAATAAACATTATAATTTTATTAAATAGTTCAATAAGTAAATGTGACATCAAGTGAAAATATGATTCAATGACTGAAGACAGTGTTGAAAATATCACAAACCTAGCTACAGTACCGGTAGGGTAAATTTCTTACCTAATATTGCTGCAGTGTGTAACAGTTTACAATTACTAACTAGGTAGATACTTATATACAACAAATTTTGTAATTTTTAAATATTCAAACCAAATTTAAAGGAGTTGGAGATCGAAATTTTAAAAAGTGGATTAATCGATCTCAAGTAGACATGTTAACAAATTCAAATCAGTTTTCAGAAATCTTATCGCGTAAACAGTTCCATCGGTGTGATTGACAAAAAATTGGTATATTTAAGATGAAATAACAGACGTTTGCAATCCCCTTAACGGATACCTCTTATTCAGTGGTGTACCTATTACTGTGGGGAGATGTGGGGGATAAATCCCGCTTGGTCTCTTATTTGTTACTTATTTATAATATTGTGATGTCCATGACTATGTGAACTATATACTAAACTATTCCCTCCCCTTAAGGAAATTAAATGTTTGCTAACGTATAATCCCCCCCCTTGAATTTTTTTTAAACAGGTACGCAACTGCTCTAATTAGCGAACGAATATCAATAACAAACAAATTTTCAGATCCCGACTACCGGCAAAGCCCCATTGGAATAAATTAATTGTACTCCTCAAAAAAAGCAGAAACATTTTATAACGGACGCGTTCAAGTTTAGGTAATTCGGTGAGCTAAAATACCTCTAAATCACAGACAGATATACTGAAAAACAAAAACCTACTCGTATTCGTATTACACTTTTCATATTATGTTAATTACTTAGATGTGTTATATGCTATTTTTATATTTCCAATAAAGAAATTTATGATTTATCCTTATGATTGAATCACTGTATTTATAATTAGGTAATGGTATAATCAATAAACCTAAACCATTGATTATAGAAGTCTATTCTGTAATAAATGCCTAAACTAACGATAAATAATGACAAAAAAACACCTTAGGGCTTAGATCATATACGATAGATGGTATAGATGGAATAAAAGTCCCGACGTAAAACGTCCCACCTTTAATAATATAGACTTGATTTTAATTGATATCTTTTATTTGTGTACCTAATGTCCTAATGATCGGCAGTCGAACACATACCTAATGATAATTATATCGATATAAATTATATAATTGATATAATAATCGATATATAATGATAAAATGTTATAATAATTATAATTTTAAAATGAAATAACATATACATTTACCTAGTCAATAATACACAAATAAATATAAAATAATTATGATTATACAATAGGTACACAATATACTAATCGCACYTCTTTATTATATTGTGACTTACCTACGCTGTTAAAAAATCTAACACACTGATTTTGTCCGCTTGTATTTATATACATAAGTTTTTTAGACGGGTTTCTATTGTCCGAGTTTGTACTATAGTTTTCTAACAGTTCTTAAATCTCCTACAGCATCTAGAGCTAATTTCGCATCATCTGCAGAAATTTCTATTTTTATTTTTCGAATTAATTTCCATATCATCGGATGCTTATGTCCACAGAGTTTTTTTCAAAACGATTATTCCATCCTTCAGTCATATTATTTATTCGATGTCCGCCTATTAATGTCGTGTAATGTACATTGCACGATGAAGGAGAAAATATAGGTAGCATTTTTTAAAAATGTACACAAATGACGTACAATAATTGCTTGAAAAATTCAAGCACGAGGCCAAAATTTTCGTCGACAAACCACTAACCAGGTATCAGATTTGGCCAATAACGACAAATAATTATCAGTGATAAACATTAAAATACTATTATTAGCATTCGGGCTATTGTCATACAGCAAAAATATTCCATTTCCATATTMCTGAAACTCTCCTATAGTAAATTTTAAAAAAAATATATGTTTTTGATAAAATAATCACTTGAAGAGCATTTAGTAGTGGCGCAAATAGGGAGGGAGAGGCTTAGCTACCCCAAAACTACGATAAACAATATTACTAATAAACTAGACTACTAGGTATAGACTATAGACAGTAGTTCTATATACTTGTAGTTATAATTTAACTACAAATTATTATTATTTTTAATTAGATAAATCGGTTTTTTTTATAAATTTGTAATATTATAATATTAATAGGTACCTACTTATGTTAAGTAGACGTAAGTCAGAATTGAAGAAAGAAGAAATACAGGTATCCTTAAAAATGTGTACTTGTACTAATATACAATATACTAACATATTATAATTTTAAAAAAAATTTCTTAGGACTTTTTAGGTGGATCATTGAAGCCCTGTGGTTTCGAATTGTTGATACTACTTTTCTGCGAAAATCTGAGCTGGCGTATCACTTGTTAATTTAGCTTTTTCCACAATTAAATTTTTTATTTTTGTCGCAGAAATAAAATGTTCATTGCCTTGATGCACATGATCATTATTTACAGAAATAAAAATTAAATTATTTATGTTTAAACTAGTTTTTAAAAAACACGGACCCTTCATAGAGCTATTTTTCGAACACCTCCAACGGAATAAAAGTAGAACATTCTTTGTGGAAATTAAATAAAAATCCCAAGTACACAACCTGAGGGTATTATTTGTTAGAATTAATTAATTCCGTTTTTAAATGCTAAAAAAATCAAACTAGATGAAAACAAACGTATAAATGTGTAGGTGCTCTTTCGATGTAATCCAACAGACTGGCAACAGTTTCAAGCCTTTATATCGATACATCCAACAAAAAAAGGTTTTAAATCCATTGTGCCAATTGTTCAGGAGAAGCAAAACAAAAGTCAAAGTGTATTTGTATTTGTATTTGCATTTTTTTTTTTGATTTTTTTGAAAATCACTATCCATCTAGTTTATATTATGTGACCATAAATGAATTTTTAAATTTTTCTCAAAATTATTATTATTTATAAATATTTTTGAAAATTTATAATTTTTTCAGACTTAAGACACTTTTCGTCAGAAATTTAAAGTCATATCTCAACTTACGATTTATTTCGTGGGAAAATAAAAGCTCTCATCTTACACCTTTTTTGGAAAATGAAAGAATTATCATTATAAACAGTACCTAATTATTAATATTTTTAAAATATAAATATGTATATTTAAAATGCTGTATACAAAATTATTGTATTGTCTTAAACAAAAATAAATGCAACGAAATAAAATAAAAACTTTTAGAACATAATATTGATGAAATTAGAACAAAAATAAAATTATGTTGTATCAAAATTATTGTTTGATCAACGTCACAAACACAATTAACTGTTGTATACCTACATAATAATAATATTATTATTATTATTATTATTATCATTGTTTCAAAAAAATACTTTTAATATCAAAACAAAGTTATCCATCAATATTCATTAAAATTACTAACTACTTATAGTTAAGAGATTTATAAAAATCATGGTAAGTTAATGGAACATGACCCATTTTACACAATAACAAATCTTTGACCTTTGCTTTTTCTATAGGAAGTTTTTCAGTGTTTGCAAGCTTGTGTGGGTATACTTCGAGTCTGATGTCTGCCAATTCGCTTTTTACTTTTTTAAATCCATTKTAATAAAATTACTTGATGTAAGGTTATATTTTATATTTAAGATGAATTGTTTTTCAGAGGTGACCGTCAACTCTTTGATTTCATTTCATTTAATCAGGCTTCCATCAACTGCAGTTATAATAATACCTCATATTATGAATGTGTCAGATGTTTGGCATTAGAGAATTTTCCAGTTCACCAAATATAGGACCAACAGATATGGGTAATGAAAGTTTTTATTAGGGCTGAAATTTTAATTACCTAAAAATTCTTAAAAAATTCTTATCGAAAAATTAAAAAATGCATTTAAATTATATTTATTATGCCTCAAAAAGTTTAAAGTTGGAAAAAAAATTACTTACTTATTGATTAGTAATCAATGATTACTAATTCAGTAATTATACTTATCGAGGCCTAGCTATATAATATATATGTATGTGTGGTATAACAAAAATAATAATACATTATGGCCAAAAGGTATATAACGGCGATAATTTGAGTGGAAAGGCTTAGTTCGTGCCTTACATTCATGGGCTTATGGCTGGTGAGCATCAAGATTTATAAAGATCTATAATATTATCTATTATAGATCTTGGGTGAGCTTTTCCAGTTATCATATAGTTTAATGATACCAGCCCCCTTGAAAATGTACTTTGTTTTGGTTTTTTGTACAATAATATCATTATTATTTAATATTTATTTTTTGCACTGCAATACACAAACAATGTCAGATTGGCGACACTGTAACCCATGTAATCTCCTTGTTCAATGCTACAATGTCGTTATCGTATCAATATGAAGATGAATAGATAAAATGATTGTCATATGAATAGCTGCAGAGTAATGTT